TAAAGCTGATTAAAATTGTTCTGCTGCCCCTAGTACAACAAATTCACTTTGTAAAGAAGAAAAAACAGCAGCAACAACACAGACTTCTTTGTGGTTTGGAAAGTGACAGTGGAAACACATTGAAAAGTGTGGGGTGAACAGATTACGAACAGGAACGTGTGTAATAAACGCCCCACAAGCAGCTCAGGACACAGGCTCATTTTCACATAACTGCCACACAAAGAAATCAGAATGAATGCTCAGTAAAGACCAGGCAGAGTCTAGCTGCCTTGTACCCTTTTTGCAAACAAATCAGGATTGGTGCTACATAATCTGTATTTCTGGAGGAGCCCCCAGGTCAGTCACATGGAGAGGATTCCTTTTGTTGGTGCAGGAACAAAGTTTCCTCTGATGAGAAGTTTAACCTGCCAGGGCCATTCCTGGCGCCTGTGCAATGTCACGTCACCTGGCCCCATGCCAGCTCAAACATTCATTTTGCTGTATGCACTTAAGCCAATGCAGCGGAGGGTAGAATTTCACACCACCTTGACAGTTGGATGCCTAACCTTTATGGTGCTGTGCTGCAGCTGGGTAATTTTGGACTCTGGCCTTTGAGGCCTGACGCCCCTTTTAAATCTGTTCCTGTGCCTTGCTTGCCCTGCTGTGCTTGGTTGAGCAACACTGGAAGGTGTTTGAGTCAGACCACGGGTCCATCTAGCTTGTATTTTAATGTATTTTTAATCATTTGTTGGAAGCCGCCTAGAGTGGCAATATTATTATTATTATTATTATTATTATTATTATTATCTACACAGGCTGGCAGAGGCTCTCCAGGGTTTCAGGCAAAGAGTCTCTCCCAACCCTGCCAGGAGGTAGCAGAGGGAAATAAGTTCAGCACCTTCTACTAGCCAGGCAGACCCTTTTGCCCTTCCCCAAGTCTGTTGGTTTGTTTGATTGCTTATACAAGCACTGATTTGGTGCCTTCTCATAAAATGCCAGCAATACTGTATAAACACACACACACACCCATTAAAAGCAGTGCAACACAATAATTGAAATGTCTGGCTACTCAAGGACAGACGTAGGCTTGTCAGCTGAAGGAAGTCTTCAAGAGACGCCTGGAAGTCAAAAGGGAGAATGCCTGCTGAATTTGTCGGAAGAGTGCGCCACAGCATCACGGGGCCAGGGATGCTGGCCTTGTGTTCCCACTCTGGTTTCCCGTGGACTCACTGCGTTTCCAGTGCTGGGTTTCTTTTATCAGGCCAGTGGTCCACCTAGTCCAGCACAAGAGCCTTCTCCCCTCCTGAGGCTTTCAGCAACTGGTATTCAGAAGCATCTCTGCCTCTGACCGCGGAGGCAGAGTGTGGCCATTGCAGCTAATAGCCATCAGTAGCTCTCTCCTCCTCCATAAATTTTTCTAAACCGCTGTTAAAACCATCCAAGTTGGTGGCCATTGATGCCTCCTGTGGGAGGGAGTTCCACAGTCCAACAATGTGTTGCATAGTGTACATAAACATAAATGAATTGAAGCCGGGGGTTGGGGAAGAGCTGTGAAATGCACGGGGGATGATGATGACCCGACTTCACTGCTCTAAACGGATAACTAACAGCCCTGCTCCAGATGGAGACCAGAGGTTGCAGGAGGTCCTGGGTTCGATCCTTGGTATCCCCACACAGGGCTAGGAAGCGCCTCCCCCCGCCTTAAAGTCAAGACAGCCGCTGTCGCTCAGCGTGGCCAGTCCTGGGCCAGATGAACCAAAAGTGTGATTCGATATCAGGGCAGCTTTCTAGCAAGCTTTCCCAACCTGGTGCCTTCAACACACTTTGAACTACGATGCCCATCAGTTAGAGGATGTCAGGCAGGCAAAGGCTGCTCTGGGTTCCAAAATGAAAGCAAGTGTCGTTCAAAACCATATATTTAGCTGAGGGTTGGGCTAGATGACCATTGGGGTCCCTTGCAACTCTACAATTCTATGACCCTATGGATATATGATGTATGGAAGTGAGAGCTGGACCACAAAGAAGGCTGATCGCCGAAGAATGGATGCTTTTGAATTATGGTGCTGGAGGAGACTCTTGAAAGTCCCATGGACTGCAAGAAGATCAAACCTCTCCATTCTGAAGGAAATCAGCCCTGAGTGCTCACTGGATGGACAGATCGTGAAGCAGAGGCTCCAGTACTTTGGCCACCTCATGAGAAGAGAAGACTCCCTGGAAAAGACCCTGATGTTGGGAAAGATGGAGGTCACAAGGAGAAGGGGACGACAGAGGACGAGATGGTTGGACAGTGTTCTCGAAGCTACCAGCATGAGTTTGACCAAACTGCGGGAGGCAGTGGAAGACAGGAGTGCCTGGCGTGCTCTGGTCCATGGGGTCACGAAGAGTAGGACACGACTAAACGACTAAACAAAACAATGAATATAGCACCAAGTGGACTCATGCTCATACTTCAGAGCAGGAAGTGGTGGGCAGATGAGTCAAAAGAGGCTCTTGAGCATCAGTACACACACAAACACACACCTTGTGAACGCTCCCAGGATGACATTTCCCTCCTCCTTGGCTCTCCAAAGAGCCGTGAAGAAGATGGTGAGTCAGGGAGGAAGAGGCAAAGGTGAGGAGGGGCGATGACAGAGGTAACGCCTACCTGCTCGGTCACCAGCTGATGCTGCCGCCTCAGGCTCTCCTGCCTCCCCTGGGGGCTCCTGGTGACTTTCGCTTCCGAGTCCTGACTCTGTTCCTGGGGAGGAAATGGACCTGTGTGGGCAGCGAGGCCGGAGGATGGCAGGGCCCTGTTCTAGCTCCCGTCTCTTTCACGGATCTCGGCTTCTGGAAGTGGGAGGTGAAGCCTTGGGGTTTTCAGCAACCCAGCTGGGTGCTGTGCCAACCACAGCAACCCTCCCAAGCCTGCCCTGCACCTGCCTTCCCAAAGCCCTCAAGGACAACCTGGGGGCCCCACACAGGCTTAGCAGTGAGGCTAAAGGTGAGGGAAGAGACACAGCTCAGCGGCAGCGTGTCTGCCTTGCAAGCAGAAGGTCCCAGTTTCTGTCCCCGCAGGTATCTCCTGGTGGGACTGCGAGAGACCCCTTCCTGAAGCCGAGGAAGACGCCACATGGCAGAGGTTCCTAGGGACTACTGCCATGCGCTCTACGTGGGGCTACCTTTGAAGGTGACCCGGAAACTACAACTAATCCAGAATGCGGCAGCTAGACTGGTGACTGGGAGCAGCCGTCGAGACCACATAACACCGGTCCTGAAAGACCTACATTGGCTCCCAGTACGTTTCCGAGCACAATTCAAAGTGTTGGTGTTGACCTTGAAAGCCCTAAACGGCCTCGGCCCAGTATACCTGAAGGAGCGTCTCCACCCCCATCATTCTGCCCGGACGCTGAGGTCCAGCGCCGAGGGCCTTCTGGCGGTTCCCTCACTGCGAGAAGCCAAGTTACAGGAAACCAGGCAGAGGACCTTCTCGGTAGTGGCGCCCGCCCTGTGGAACGCCCTCCCATCAGATGTCAAGGAGATAAACAACTACCTGACATTTAGAAAACATCTGAAGGCATCCCTGTTCAGGGAAGTTTTTAATGTGTGACATTTTAATGTATTTTTCATCTTTGTTGGAAGCCGCACAGAGTGGCTGGGGAAACCCAGCCAGATGGGAGGGGTACAAATAAATAGTAATAATAATAATAATAGAATCATAGAATCATAGAGTTGGAAGAGACCACAAGGGCCATCGAGTCCAACCCCCTGCCAAGCAGGAAACACCATCAGAGCACTCCTGACATATGGTTGTCAAGCCTCTGCTTAAAGACCTCCAAAGAAGGAGACTCCACCACACTCCTTGGCAGCAAATTCCACTGTCGAACAGCTCTTACTGTCAGGAAGTTCTTCCTAATGTTTAGGTGGAATCTTCTTTCTTGTAGTTTGGATCCATTGCTCCGTGTCCGCTTCTCTGGAGCAGCAGAAAACAACCTTTCTCCCTCCTCTATGTGACATCCTTTTATATATTTGAACATGGCTATCATATCACCCCTTAACCTCCTCTTCTCCAGGCTAAACATGCCCAGCTCCCTTAGCCGTTCCTCATAATAATAATAATAATAATAATAATAATAATAATAATAATAATGCATGGCATGGAGAGAGTGGACAAAGGACAGTTTCCCTCCCTCTCTCATAATACTGGAACTCATGAGCATCCAATGAAGCTGAATGTTGGAAAAGAGTCAAGATGGATTAGGGAGGCAGCATTTCTTCACATGGCACACAGTTAAACTATGGAACTCCCTGCCACATGAGGCAGTGGTGGCCACCAGCCTGTAAAGGAGGACTGGAGAAATTAATGGAGGAGAGGGCTACTGACAACTCCTAGCAAAACATGGCGCTCCTTGCCCCCTTAACAGTTTGCTGCAGGCTGGCCTAAAGGATTTCTGCAGTTCTATGACTTAAAAGCAAAGGAAGCTTTTCCTTGGTCACATCCATGCCATACACAGCTCCTCAAAGAATTCTGGGAACGGTATTTGTTTAGGGTGCTGGAAACTATAGCGCTGTGGTGGGGAAACTACAGCTCCAAGGGCTCTGTGGGGGAAGCTGTCTGCTTCAAGGCATGGCCTGGCTGGGGCCAGAGAGAACGGAAAAGCTTCACCCGTTCAGATTTCAACAAGACAGGCTCTGGCTAAAGGGACAGGGAAGCCTTTAGGGCCAGAGGGCTGCCTTCCCGTGGGGCAACCTTCTGGGGACCACATGCCAGTGGTGGGCGGGGCCTGAAGCAAAAGTGGGTGGAGCAACAGATGCAAATTATTCCTTTGCCCAGCTGGCACACTCAAGCACAAGGCAGGGTCAGAGCTCCAGGACATATTTCCAGCTAGACAAAAACACTTCAGGACAGGGCGGTCCAATACCTGAGGGCAGCATGCAGGCCTCGAGGCCTTTTGGGATGGCCCTTGGCAACATTTGACGCCTCCCCCAGCCCCAGTGCTACCTTCCCAAAGCCTGGTAAGGAGGCGCTGGGCTTTGGGAAAGAGGTGTGATGTCTCTGGCAGAGAAAGAGCCTGCAGGGTTCTGTGTCAAAGCCTTCTTGAGGCCCACTTGGTATGAAAAGCTGGACCTCCCGGCTCCAAGAGGCTGTGAAGTAGGGCCAGGAGAGGCCTGGCTTGCAGAGAGTCCTGGTGGCTAGATAGCAAGCCCCCCAGAAGTCTCCCTGCACAGAGCCGGATTCAGGAGAGCGCTACCCGTTCTGTTGCACTGGGTGCCAAGCCTTGGGGGCGCTGCAGAGGGCGCCGCAACTGATTTTGCATGGAGCACAAGAGTTGGGGGGGGGTGCCAAATTTAGGAGTTGCACAGGGCACTGCTGACCCCCAAGGTCCGCCACTGCCCTGGAGTTCCCCACCCGTGCAGTAGCAAAAAGGAAGAAAAAGGCAAGAGACTTAGCGGGGTGTCGTCTCCCAGCGGCCCCACACCTTGGCAGAGAGGCCTGGACCACTCATGTTCTGCAACTCCTCCTCCCTGGTCTTCGCGGCTGCCGTCCTCTGCCCCTGCCGACCTCTCCCGTCCTGGGGCATGTGCTCCTGGCTGTCCGGCCGGCTGCCCACCTCCTCCTGCTTGGCGTGCAGAGATGCTTCTAGCTCCAGGGTACGAGCCTGCAGCAGGTCCTTCTCTCTCTGTACGAGCCTCCAGGATTCCCTGCAAGAACCAGAGGGGACAAAGGCAGGTGCTCGCTCGCTTTCTGACCTCGTGGTGACAGGGGTTACTTCAAGCCCCATGTGGGGCTTCCTTTGCTCTTGGTCCAGAAGCTGCAGTCAGTGCAGGATGCTGAAGGGTTATGGCTGACAGGGGGGAGGTCTGGTCAGCATATTGCCCCTGTACTCAGAGATCTGCGCTGCCTGCCAATTTACTACCAGACCAAGTTCAAGGTGTTACGATTAGTATATAAATCCTGAGATCTCATTTACTCATATCCCCAATTATAGCCCCCCTGTACCCGACTACTTCAATTGCTGGAACTGGCGTTTTTACACCTGCCACGTAATACCCATTCTACAATTGTAAGAACGCTATCTTTGGAACTCCCTGCCTGTTGATATCAGCAGGAACCTTCACTGTACTCTTTCCAGCACCTGCTAAAAATATTGTTGCTTAGGCAGATGTTTAGAAAGTTGATGAAAGTTTCAATCCGTTTTTAGTCAATTGCTGACTTTATCTTTTGACTGATTTTAAGAGTTGTTTTTAACAGGTAATTTTATCATTTTAGTCTCTTTGTAAACGGCTTTGAGGTTTTATTTTCACAATTTTGCTGTGTATAACACTTTAATAAATAAACAACTAATAACCAAATAGAAGCTACAAACCTCCACTTGGCTGTTAAGCTCACTTCATGACCTTGAATCATTCTCTCAATCTAAGCTACATTGAACTCAATTTCTGCCCCATCCCTGCCTCTGGGCAGCAGAGAACAAGACTTTGCCCTCTTGTGACAGAGGAATGTACAAAAAAAAAAACAATCCCCGAAAAGCAGAATATCAGGCTGCAGGATCTATGCCATCTCCTAATATTTACTACTGTAGCAGGTCAACAAATTGCTGTATACCAGAGCTTTCCAAACTGTGTGTCACGATATGTCATTGTGTTGACTGCAGTGTGCAAGTGTGTGGCATGACTGCTCCCCAAACTCCTCCCAGAGCTGGAAAGGGGGTAGTTTAACCTTCAGTTTGCTAATAAAACTGAATTACTGCGTCACGAAATGATGCATGTCTAAAAAGTGTGCCCCCAACAGGAAAAGTTTGGAAAGCTCTGCTATATATACTGATAGGGGAACTACAGCTAAGAGAATATGCTTCCACATGATGGACTACATGGAATTGGCGGAAATGACTGGCAGAATCCGGGACCAGGGAGAAGAGTCGGTGGAAGAAGATTGGAAGAAATTTAAAGATTATTTACAGAAATATTGCAAAATTAATGAATGTTAGAATGATGTCAGAATGAAGTTAAGTGGTTTAAGCAGCAATGTTATAAAGGTGTATGTAAAAATGGATTATTAACAGGTGAGAAACCAAAGTTATAATATATTAAGTTAAAGGATTAAGATAAAAACAAAGAGGGAAAGAAACTGCTGAATTAACTAACTGAATTGGAATACAAAAAAGGGAGGTGTGAGGAGGTCAGGGAAACAAGGAAATGAATGTAAGGTATGGAAAGACTGATGTATTTTTTTAAGTGTTTTTTATCTTTTTTTGTATTTTGTATTTTTTCTTTTATTTTTACTTTTGTCTTTCTTTTCTTCTTTTTTTAATTCATGTAATTCTTTTCTTTGAAACCTTAATAAATATCATTTAAAAAAAAA